TATTAATTATTAAAAATAAATATTTTAAAATATATTTTATTTATAAGAATTTTAATAAATAAGATTGAAAATGCTAAGCCAAAAGTCGCTGAAACAACAAACATAAAGAAAAAGAAGAATATAATAAGCTGAATAGAAAAAGTCTTCTAAAGGTGGAGGAAGAGATACAAGGAAAAAGAGCCCTTATTTTGATTGATTCTGGAGCATCCAAGGATTTTATAAATCTACATTTTGTAGAAAAGTCACAATTAGAAATAGACAAGAAAGAAGTTGATATTACAATAGTAGAGTTAGCCAATGAATCATTATGCAAGTCACAAGAAAATGTAATAGATATTGCTGTTGAATTTCAAGAGTATAAGAAAAAAAGAAAGACTATAAAAGTCATATTCTAATAAAAATAAAAAAAGGGTGATGTACTTTTATAATTAAAGCTAGTAAACAAAATAATATGAATGTATATCAGTCAATTCTGGTAACAAGAAAACAATTTGTTAAGGATACAAAAAGTACTACAGAATTATATGCAATACTTTTATCCAACACTACAGATAAAAATCCTGTGATCAACCAAATACTAGAATTTTTAAAGGATTTGGTATTTTAATACAAGAACTTGTTTCCTGAGAAATTGCCAGATAAATTACTACTATGTAGAAGTGTAGACCACGAAATTCTATTGCAAGTAAGTATTACACTACCATATAGACCTATATACAGATTATCTATTTCAAAAATGAGAGAATTGAAAAAACAAATCAAATAGTATTTACAAAAAGTATAATAAGGCCAAGTATAACTTCATACGGGGCTTCTATATTGTTTGTAGCAAAAAAGAAAGGAACTCTTAGAATGTGTGTTGATTACAAAGCCCTAAATAAAGTAATAATTAAAAACTGGTATCTCTTACCACGTATAAACAAATTAATCGACTAGTTACATGAAGCAAAATTCTTCAGTAAAATAGCTCTTCATTCTAGGTACTATTAGATAAGAGTAAAAGATTAAGATGTTTATAAACCACAGTTAGAACCAGATACAGTTATTTTGAATTTCTTGTCATGCTATTCGGCTTGACAAATATCCCTATATCATTTATGAGATTAATGAATAATATTTTTAGAAATCAATTAGACAAGAATGTCATTGTCTATTTAGATGATATACTAGTATACAGCTAAATAGAAGAAGAGCATTTGTTTCAGGTTTTGAAACCCTTTAGTATTATAAGCTATACAGAAAAATAAAAAATATGATCTAGAAAGAAATGAAGTTGAGTTCTTAGATCATATTATATCTAACAATAAAATAAAGATGGACTTCAAGAAAACTCCTATAATCCAAGACTGGCTAGCATTAACTAACATTCATGACTTCTGTTTTTTTTGGGCCTTGCAAGTTACTATCACAAGTTCATTATGAATTTTTTAACTGTAGCAGCACCACTAACCAAGTTGCTCAAGAAAGATGAAAAATTTATTTGAAACAAACAGCAGGAACTAGCTTTTAAGACCCTCAAGAAGGCATTAACCTCTGCTCTAGTCTTATTAATATCTAACCCCAACAAGCCCTTTTCGGTAACAATGGATGCTTCTAATATAGCATTTGGTGCAATTTTGTATCAAGATCAAGGAAAAGAGGACCAACCCATGGCGTATGAATCTAGAAAATTAATGCTGGCTGAATTAAACTACCCAGTACATAAAAAGAAACTTTTGGTAGTCATACATATATTAAAGGTTTGGCGTGTGTATTTAAAAGGAAGATTTTTCCAAGTGACAACTGACTATGAATTATTAAAGTACTTGCAGTTACAAGCAAAGTTGTCATGTAGGCAAGCCCATTGGGTTGAAATGCTTCAAGCATATAATTTTGTGATTAAATACTACTCAGAGAAAACCAACATAGTAGCTAACGCCTTATCAAAAAAACCTGAGATAAATAACATTAGTAAAGTTCATATAGATGAAAAATTGTACAAAAAAATAAAAGAAGAATATGATGAGAATGTCTAGTTTCAAAAATTTTAAAAGCACTTGAAGACCCTAGTTATGATGAAGTGAAAAGGTTAGAAAAACAATTAAATCATTACAAGCTATAAGAGGATAGAATTATTGTCTTTGAAGATAAAGAAAATCCATAAATATGCTTTACAAAAAAATCTAAATTACAAATGATCCTGTTAAAAGAACAACAGGATATCAATAGACATTTTGGATTTAAGAAGACATATGAGAGATTAAGAAGATATTATTATTGGAAGAACATGGCTAAAGACACAAAAAAGTACATACGAAGCTGTGATAGTTGTCAATGCAACAAGGGATCTATGCAAATACCAGCTCAACCATGGGAGGTAATTTTGATAGACTTTATTACATATTTGCTATATACGAAACATGAAAATGATTCAATAATAGTAAACAAACTAAGTAAATAAGTATATTTTTTACCTACCAAAGGAACTATGACAGCAATAGAAATTGCACAACTTTTTTTTGATAGAATATTTAGGCACTACAGACTACCTAGATACATAATTTCAGATAGAGACCCAAAATTCACAAGCAGATTTTGGAAAGGCCCTTTTTAAATCATGGGATCAAAGTTAAAAATGTCTACTGCAGCGTACCCTCAAATCGACAGACAAACAGAGTATACAAACTGTATATTCGAAGAAGTTCTATGAGCCTATATAAACTACAAACAAAATAATTAGGATCAACTTTTAATAGCAGTTGAATTTGCATATAACAATTCATTACAATCTTCTACAGGTTTTACCTCTTTCAACTAGATAAAGATCACTATCCTATTACTCCTCCTAGCTTAATGGTCAGCAAAATTTAACAAACAAATGTAAAAGCTGTGTAAGAACTAATAGATCACTGGGTAACAATGATAAAGGTGGCAAGAGACGAATTAGTAAGTGCTCAAAAAAGACAAAAAAACTATGCAAACAAGAAAAAGCGCTATTTAGAGTTTAATGAAGAAGACTTAGTAATATTAAATTTGGTGAACTTAACTTCATCCAAGAATGTTAAACACCCAACAAAGAAATTTTTACCAAAATTTATCAGGCCGTTTAAAATTATATGCAAAATATTCATGACAATATATTAATTAGAGTTACCTAACATCTTGCATGTCTATCCAGTTTTCTATATTTCACTATTAAAGTTGTACTATTTAAATGAGTTTGAAAACAGAGATACCAATATACTAGACAAGCATATTTTCCACTGCCAGGTCTAGTACCTTGTAAAATAGAAGAGTTACCCACTATACGACACTACTTGGGAGCCACTAACGAATCTCGAAAATTTTAAAGACTTAGTAAACGAATTTGAAACACGAAGAGAAATTGTTTTAAATAGGAGAGAGTATAAGGGGTTTGGGCTTCCAGAATTCAGCTGATTAGGATTTACTAATAAATCATTCGAACCC